TTGGTCAAGACCCCAGCTACCGCAGGGCCTGGACAAAATATCCGTTCCACTTATCGGTCAATCCTTTGACCAGGCGCTTACCGCTCAAGTGAACACCGCTCTATTTATTTTAGGAAATACTGTACGGCAGTTGTACCACTAGGTTGATAGAACTGTAGGGTTAAAAGTCAAATACACCCCGATGTACAGTGAGCTAGACGGGCTTTCCTGAACACATTCCTCCAACATGCTATTGGACAATGTACGCGATACGTTTGTACTCAAACCACTATGCACTCCACCAAGTACGCTAGCTCGACTCTACGTCCGCGCGTTCTTCCATTTCTTATCTACGCAAGGTGTGCATATTCTTAACGTCTCCACCAAGGTATTGCCATCACCAAACACATATCCAACGTTTCCAATCGTCTTCACGTTGGTTCGAAGTGCTTCGAAATAACTTGCCTTCGAGTGCATTTGCGGATACTACAAGAGTTCGAATGTAGGAAGTGTCTTGGCTGTGACTCTCCAAAGGTAACAGCCTAAGTTTGCACGGGTCACGCCGAGACCTCCCGATTCTTATTGGGAAAGTGCACGCCTTAACGTCCACCGACAACGAACAATGGTATGACACGACCAGGATACGATAACGGAATTTCGGGAATGGTCGGCACAACATATCAAATGGGCGTGTTATAACCCACCCAAACCCACCCGTAACCACCCCATGCTAAGTACACACGGCACTATGGAGAATGTGGCAACGTACCATAAAGTGTTCCGCCGCTCTGTCGCTGTCACCACTCCCATGCAGGCTGATGTTTGGAACCGTCGGCAATACCGTGTCCTGCCTGTTGGCTACTGCTTCTACTACATGCAGTTAGTAAATCCAGTTGCATACAATGCCCCTATCGCGATTGCCACACCGTAGAAACTATCCAACATGCCCTGCGCACCTGCTCCCACGTCAGGCCGCTTTGGGACATCGTGTCTGCTCGATGGCTATAATTTGGCCTGAGTTTCGAATGGACCTACATTCTGGATATAACCAAACTACAACCTGCCCAAGACTGGTCCCATGTGGCCACCGAGCTCATTGCACTGTGGACGATGCTCGCCGGTGGCGTGCTGAGACGCCTGTGGATCTACCGCAACACAGTGAAGTACTAAAGCGCAAACAACCTCCATATACCGTCCGTGCTGGAACTTGTTCTGCTCAACTGGTCGGCCCAAGTACGCCTTTACATTCAGCTACTGTCGACACTGGGGGACGAACGAAACCGCTTCCAAGCCATCTTGAACCGCCTTGGTCAAGACCCCAGCTACCGCGGTTTCTGGACAAAATATCCGTTCCACTTATCGGTCAATCCTTTGACCAGGCGCTTACCGCTCAAGTGAACACCGCTCTATTTATTTTAGGAAATACTGTACGGCAGTTGTACCACTAGGTTGATAGAACTGTAGGGTTAAAAGTCAAATACACCCCGATGTACAGTGAGCTAGACGGGCTTTCCTGAACACATTCCTCCAACATGCTATTGGACAATGTACGCGATACGTTTGTACTCAAACCACTATGCACTCCACCAAGTACGCTAGCTCGACTCTACGTCCGCGCGTTCTTCCATTTCTTATCTACGCAAGGTGTGCATATTCTTAACGTCTCCACCAAGGTATTGCCATCACCAAACACATATCCAACGTTTCCAATCGTCTTCACGTTGGTTCGAAGTGCTTCGAAATAACTTGCCTTCGAGTGCATTTGCGGATACTACAAGAGTTCGAATGTAGGAAGTGTCTTGGCTGTGACTCTCCAAAGGTAACAGCCTAAGTTTGCACGGGTCACGCCGAGACCTCCCGATTCTTATTGGGAAAGTGCACGCCTTAACGTCCACCGACAACGAACAATGGTATGACACGACCTCATTAACTAGACGAAAGTCGTTGACATGGATACAAGCATTCGTTAACTTCAACTAGAAAACTTGACATCGTTCTCACTAGGGAAGATTTTTCACACACTGCTCCTGCTTACACTCTTCCCAAGCGATAGATTCCTAGACATTTCCCAAAGTGTGGCAATTGTATATTCCGTCTGACGCACAACTGATTCACCCCATATCTGTCGCCTAGTGTTCGATATATTTCGTCCAGACCCTGCTTTGTTGCGGTATAGTTCGACTGATATCCGGTACATGTCACCCCACAGCCGGTATATTTCACTTGTTGTTCCATGAATCGAGTGATGATCGATCTATTTCGCTTCTAAATAATGTAAATCCAGTGAATCGCAGATGGCGGATAACGTTTTAGCCTTGCATAAATTATACATATGAGTAGACGTCAATCACTGCAACCTTGCACCTTGAAGCTAGGATTGTACTACGGTCTTGCCGAATACGCGGGTGACATGGAAGTTAGTACCTGATGTGTTGGTACTAACTTCCATGTCACCCGCGTATTCGGCTGATTTACGACGTCGTGCTTGATTTGCATTGAAAAACGAAATAGATGGAACATCATTCGATATATTGAACAACAAGTGAAATACACGGGCTGTGGGGTGACATTTACCGGATATCAGTCGAAATATACCGCAGGGCCTGGACAAA